CAGAGGCTGGGAGCAGCCTGTGTTTCTGCAGGGAATTCACACTCTCAGGTTGCTGCTTGGCTGCCACTAACCGCAGCCTCGTGGCGTCTGCCGGGCCAGGGTGCTGAGGTCGGCTTCCCAAAATCACAAAAGGCTTCGGGAAAGCGTGGGGGGAGGAGGCTTTTCCTCTGGAACGGTGCCAGTTAACTATAAAAATCCATCTGCTTCCCCTCCGGATGAGCTCACACCTCTCGGTGCCTCGTCGTAAGGGCTGCGTTCCAGCTGGGTACGTTCCCCGTCGGCTGGTCAGCGGCTTGGGGAGAAGCGGGGCCGAACTGGCTTCAAACTGAACTTTCAAACCCTGCCTGGAAGGCAGGAAGCACCAGGGCAGATCAAAGGAAAGCGGAGGCAGGAGGGGAGGGACACGGATCAAAGGCTTCTGTTCTGCCCAGCCGTCTGGAGCGGCCCCGGGGCTGCCTTTTCCACGGAGCGCGGATCCCAGACGTCGGGATGCTCCGAGGAGCCTTCCCTCCCTCTCCCAACACCCAGCTGGCGTCGCAGAGCAGAGGTGGAAGGTTAAAGGGGAGCATTGAGTGTAGTTAAGGGGGAGCTACTGCTGGATAGAGGCAGGGAATGGCACGATCCAGGAGATGCCTGTCCTGCCAGCCAGGTCCTGCTGCTGCTCCGAGTTGGATATTCCCTCTGCTTCCTGCGAGTGGAGGATTGGGGTTGATTTAGGATCCCTGGAACACACAAGCCCAGCTGCTTCGGATCATTTATAGCTCCCTGCGTCATTTACAGTAAGAGGAGCTGGGCTTTTGCTGTGGTCTATGCTGGTCTAAACCGTTGGTGTTTAAGGCTGGCAGCTCAGCAGAATCAATCCCACTAATGGCAGAGCTGCCTCACTAGGAGCAGACACTGGGTCTTAACCACACAAACACACACGCTTCTGATTGCCTTTATTCTGGAAAGGTACGGTTGTAACGTTAGGCAGAGTGGAGAAATACACCCCAAAGTCCCTTTCTCCTTCTGTCATCTATCTTCTTTTGGCTTCTTGGTTGTTCCTTGCCTTAACACAGGCCTGAGATCTCATTACTTCCTGTTAATATCCGTGGCAGATAGCGGCAGGGCTGTGAGAGATTGCAGGGAGGAAGGAGGGGGAAGGAAGAGATGAAGCAGCCAACACGCAGCACCAAACTGCACACATAGAGCCTGAGATTTTTGCAGCATTTCTGGTGACACTTCTGCAATGAAAGAAAAATGATAATGTATGTGGCAGCGGATGAAATGGATCTGGGGCTGCAGCTGCGGGGATCAAGCGAGATAAATTGAATGACAAATGCATCCCTCAGTAGAGAGAAATATGCAGCGTCTATAAAAAATAGATATTTTAGAAAGGGGGGGAGGATGGGACAAATTTGACTAGCAGAAGGATAGTTTCGCTGGTGGTTTCTTTATACTTGTCTGCTAGGCTGCTTGCTTTGTGAAAGAGGGCAAAGTTGGTTATCCCTTTTCTTTGGAGTAGGGTGAAATAACAATGGCTGGAGCTATCCTGGGGATAAAGGACACGGAGGAGCCCCTGCTGCTGGGTGATGGGGACCATTTTCTGTGTGTGCAGCAGGGCTCACACCCGTGAGGACATCAGTGCCCTGGGGCTGCCTGGTACTGTCCCCTCTTGATTGACACTAACACCCACCCGATTGCAGTGTAAGATGGAGCCAACGTGGAGACCTGCCAGCAAGGAGACATCCTCCTCCTTCCCTGAGTGCTCTCCTCTTAGGTGAAACCTTTAAAGCCATAAGGAGACAAGACACTACAGAATTTGCTGTCTAAAAAGCCATTATCTGCATCTTGATAGCATCAGCAGGTCCCAGTTGAGGTGAAGGCTCCGTTGTGGTTAAACATTTCTCTCTTTTGCAGCTTTTTTTCTCTAAAGCAAGTGCAGTGTAGCATATACATGGCTCCAGCGCCGAGCCTGCCGTGCAGAAGTTGGAGAGCTGTCCAGAAAACTGTCTGGAGGCCCTTGAAAGTGTTAGTAGAGACTGAACTAATGTTCAAGCAGTGGGTCAACCTGTGCATTCCCAGCTCTCTTTGTCAGCAGGAGTATCTGCTGCTGCCTGAACTTTTGGGTTGGAGCAGGGCAGTGATGCTGGAGGGTCGCTTGCATTGGGAGGGGAGATCTTTTTTCGTGGGGAGAATATCTTTGCTGAGGATAAGGCTGTTGAGATAAAAGGAATAAAAACCCTCGCTCTGTTTGCAATGAAACAACCTGAGTGTGAGAGAGGAGAGAAGGGTTTTTCCTGCTCAGAGACAGGGCAGGGGCCAATTCTTTGTGAGCAGGATGCCCTTTCTGTCAGGTAATAGTAGGGGCTGTGGTTTCGTGGTGGTCTGGCTCTTCCCTGTAGGAGCTCGAGTCTAAAAGGAGGAGTTATCCAGGCACGCACTGTGCGACTTGGAGGACGGTTAATTCGTGGATTTTTGTGTGCTGGGTGTGTGGGTTTGCGCGCCTGAGAAATGAGAGTCGCCCGTTGGGGTTGGGATGGTCAGACATGAAGCAAACTTGACCCCAAATGACCCACAGCAGCCCTAAAACCCCTCAGTTCCAGCCCACAGACTCCCCCACTCCGTGCCAGCCTTGGTCTCTTCTCAATCTCCTCTTCAATCCCTTCCTTCAGTGTCAGCAGTTCACCTATTCAGTATCCCCACCTCAAAATCCACCACCCTGCTATAAATTCACCCCACAGACACCTTTCCCACTGTAATCTTGGCTTCCCTGTGCTTTTGGCTGGCTGCCATCCACAGATACCCACTGTTATTCCTGATCTCAGTGTGGGAGCTGAAGCCCTGAAGAACAGATTTTTTTACTGCTTGAATTGCATTGAGATATCCTGCTGGAAAGAAGTGCACTTAAATTGGTTAAAAAAATCTGTTTTTGAGTAAGGTTGCTGAGCTGGACTGTGTACAAACACCTGGTCTGTCACTGTCCTTTCAGCCCAGGGTGGCAGGACCCCCACAGTTGAATAGGGGACTGTATAGACTGAACATAGTCCAATAGACATTGGACTATATAGAATGAATTGGAGGAAAAAGATGCCCCATGCTGCCTGCCACTGGGGGTGGGTGTTGATTTTTTGCTGGTGGGATCTGTTTATGGAAACTATCACGTTGCTTTCATTCTTTTCCCCCTCCTAGCTCAAATCTTTCCTGAAGGAATGCAAGATTGCCAACTACTGCAAGCCCATGCGGCAGCTCCTGGAGAAACTGCAGGAAAATTCTGCCTACGTCTCCAGCAAGCGTCAAAAAGCCACGTTTGGTGTGGCCAGCAGGGAGGCTGTGGTGAGTCTATGCTTCCATTTGGGCTTCTTGGAAAGACAGTCAGGCCCCAGCTGCTGGGGTTGAACTTCATGCAAAACAACACATAAATTACACCCTTCTGATGTTTATAACACACACGCCTGTGGGGCTGTGCCATGGACCTGGAGAAGGACAATCCACTCTTGCTGTTTTCTTTGCTTCCTGGTCTGTGATCCACAAATAGTATTTCTTCAGGGGTCAAAATCCTTCCTGTTGGGGCTTGGAAATGATACCAGTTTAGTAATTGCCTGTGAAATGCATGATAGGGAAGAGGAATATAATCCTGTGCCAGGATCTTCCAGTTTGTGAAATGCATGATAGGGAAGAGGAATGCATGATAGGGAAGAGGAATAATCCTGTGCCAGGATCTTCCAGTCTTGTGAGACATGACATAGAATTGGACTGTTTTGCTGCAGAAATTGTGCTTCCCACCTGGATGGAAGCTTGCCTGGGATGAGGGAGACAGGCTCTGCTTTGCTGGGATGGCCCTTCAGCTGCTGAAGGGGATCCAGGGATGGTGCAAAGTGCTGTCCAGCCCCCTCCCTCCTGCAGTGGGGTGGCAGGGCCATGGCTGCTTATTTCTTGTGCCCAGCGAGCAGCTTTTGGGGACAGCAGCCATGTATTTTCCAGCACTCCTCAAAGAGAGGCTGCACGTTTCCAGGAAGGGCCAAAGCACTCGAAATGCTGCACTTTCCAGAGTGGTTTCAAGTGCCCCTGAAAGTCTGTGTTGAGATTGCCAGGCTGTCCCCAGCGTATGCAGGACATTGGTCCTTCCCATCAGCAAATGCTGCCGGAAAAGGGAAGAGGGGGAGTGAGGGGAGAGGAAGAAAAGAGGCCAAAGGAATTTGCATGTCCCCCTTGCCAGCAGAAGGAATTGAAAGCAAATGCTCGCTGGTGTTCGCATCCATGTGTGTTTGCTGGTTCTCCTGTAGGAAGCAGAGCCCAAATTCCGAGCTAATACTTCCATGCAATACACTGAAATCCACTGAGGAGGGAATGGTTTTAAATGGGGAGAATAGCAGTTGTGGATGTGATTGGTTCTGCAGTCACCGAGTAGTGACGGTGTTTTAGAAACGCTGGCCTTTGTCCAAGGGTCTATGTTATATAATTTTAAAGAAGAAATAGGGGATTGAAGCTAGTGCTGCAGGGAGCGTGGGGAGTGATGTTGAATGATCCCTCCTTGTGTCCCAGGTGTTGGCTGTGGAGAGGAGCCGAGGAGGGGGAAGGTGCAGCTGAAGTTGAATCCAGGAGCAAAATGAGCAGCTCTGACCGCAGGTCCCTTAGCACTAGCCTGGGCCCTGGCCCCACAGGGAAGAGAGGGAAGGAGACGATGGAAAACACTGCCTAATTCCCGTGGGTTTTCCAATCCTCTGCGTTCATCTCCATCTCACGTTTCAGACGAGTGTTTCTGGAGGGCAGTGATCCTTGCTTCATTTGTGCAGGTCCTAGCACCATGGGTTTGATAATATACAGAGAACTTTAGATGATTAAGGTGTGTATGAAGACATCCACACTCAAAAATCTCATGGAGATTTCTGACTGCAAAGGTGGGCATGTTTTTCCATGGGAATGCTTTTTAATGGCCTATTATTATTTTAGCTGTGGATCCAGCACGCTTTAAAACTAAAAGACCCCTGTTGCACAGCCCAAATAGCCTTCCGACCTCCAAAAGTCGAGGGCTGGGTGCAGACTGACATTATACTTCACAGCCTTTGCTGAGTACTTGCTTATTTATAAAAGCCAGGGATTTTTCCTGTACTATTCTGCTTTCTCTGTCACACTCCTCACACTCTAAACATTCCCCACTCCTTGGCTCACAGGCTATAACAAGGATATTCCCCTACTCTTGAGGCTCAGCAACCTAGAAGCAGAGCTGATTTGGGCTCTTTTGAGGATTATTTAAGCTGTTGCTGTTTTTTTTTTTTTTTTCTGTGAGGATGATTTGGTCCTTTTTCCCCTTCCACCTCCCCAGCTGCCCACACAGAGACGTGTATTTATTCCCAGCCCTGGATTCTGGATGCTCTTTCTGGATCTCTTCTAACATCTATGCTAATCTCCGTTCCTGCTACTTGTTCCCTTCCTCCTTTTTCAGTTTCTACTCATATGTCCTGTCACTTTTCTTGCATTAGATGGACTTTTTACTGGCAAAGCCTCTGGGCACTTGGATAATCCAGACAATAGGTACAGTTCTCCCTAGATTTTGTACTTTGTATTGCACCACTTCTGCTTTGAACACCTTCCTGAAATTTGTATTCCCTCTTTCCACACAGGAGCAGTGGGAGAAGCAGCTCAAAGAGGAGGGGACCCCTCTGACCAAGTATTACACTCAGTGGAAGAAGCTAAGGGAGAAGGAGATCCAGCTGGAAATCAGTGGCAAAGAAAGAGTAAGAACGAAAGCACTGACTTGTTACACATTCAGCTGCGTCATAGGAGGAAAGGAAAGTGCTGGGTGGCCAAAAGCAGCTCCACCAAGGCCCTTCCCCTTTGCACTGGGCTCCAGGATGCAAAAACTGGGAGCTTTCTTAAATTAGGAGCCCCGAGGAAAGCTGTCTGAGTGCTAATGCAATCAAAGTGGCTGAGCTAGGCTGCTGGCCAGGAGCAGGAAATAGATATAATTGGTGTCTCCAGCATATGGTGGGGAACAATTAAAATAATCAATGGGACATTAGGATGGTTGGCTCCGAGCCAAGTCCCAGAGCATGGAAGAAGACATAGGATATCGTAGGATGTGCTCGGCACTGCATACCAGCCAGAGACCTTATTTTTCGCTCTGCAGACCCAGCAGGAGAATGTGGCCTTTGCAGCAACAAAGTTACCCAAGTAGGGCTAAGAATCAGCAAAAAAGGAGGTTTTTGTGAGTGGGACTGATCCTTCCCCAAACTGACCATACTACTGAGAGCTTTTGATACTGATGCATCAATGGCAAGGAGGGAGATGAACCTTTTGTGTAGACAAGCCCCGTGCCTTGTGTTAAAGGGAGGAGTTAGAGCTCCTTGGGGTAGCAGGGACAACTTGAGGTCAAGAGCTCCCGTTCTAGGGGGATTCCTTTAGCCTAGGAGGCTCAGCAGGATTATCATTGAGCCAGGAGTAGGCTTAGGCTTGTCTGTTCCTGGAGGAAGTGGCCTGAAGGGAGAAACTGCAGAGAGGTGGATTTGGGAGGTCGCTTTTTGCAGAACACGTGGCTGCCCGACTTCTCTGCTTGGTGAATGGGGCTGTTGTCTTCCTAGCTTCATGCTGCAGATTTGGGAGCCCAGCAGGACAGCGAGCACTGGGAGGCCCATTAGGTTTGGGAAAATCCATGTCCTATTAGCAGCCATTTCATGGAGAAAATAGTTAACAAAAAAAAACCCCTCAGCTGCTCTGAGCTGGAACTCAGACCCTCCTTCCTTTCCTTTGCAATTGCTGAACAGTTAGGAGGGATTTTTGGTGTCTTTAGTTTAGCTCCTCAACTTGCAGGTGCTGCTGTGGAGCCTGGGGTGGTTGGAGGTGACTCAGGATGATTCAACTTCCCTTTAAAATAGGCTCAGGTTGGTCTCAAGCAGTGCTGGTGTCACCCAGAACCAGCTGCATTTGGAAATGAGGACTCAGAGTTTTATTTTCATAGTGCCTCATGCCTAAGACATTCTAAACAACAGTCTCTGCTCCCTGCTCTACCTGTACCCTGGGCAAGTTTTTCCACAGTATTGATGGAAATCTCCCCTCTGTGCCTCCTTGGAAAAGTGAGACTCTTACACCTCTGTGCGCAGGGCATTTTGCTCACATGTATCTCCATTTTCCATTTTGAAACATACTTAAGTGATAAATTCCATGGAAATACCCTACTTTCCAGGTGAGTGAGAAGGGAGAAGATCATGTCCCTGGGTCTATTCCCTGGCATGCAAAGGCTGCTGTTTGCAAAGCCTCTTGTGTGCTGCTTTCTTCACATGTTCTTCAGGCAGCGAATGAGCTTGGCAGGTCTCTGCAGGGGCAGAGGGAGGAAAGCCCTTGCGTAGTAGCATAGAGCAGGTAGGAAAATAGTTTAAAATGAGGATCCTACATTTGGGAATCGGTGTTTTGCTCCGCTCTCCTCTTCTCTGGACTCCATCCTCGTGCTGCAGCTTGTGACCCAGCTCCCAGAATCAGTATTGCCCAGCTGGGGGACCAGAACTGTGAAAAAGGCTGGGAGAAAGACAGGAAAAGGGCTGGGGGAAGACAGGAGGGCATCGAGGGGTGGTCCTGGTGGCTGGGAGGCAGCAAACGAGTTATTAGTCACGGGGTGAATGTTTCCAAGCAGACTCCTGTGTGCTGCTGCACGAGCGCTTCCCAGGAGGGAGCAGCTGCCGTTCCGGGAGCGCTCGGGATGCCGTTTGCATCCCCAGGATCTTCGCCCTGCTGGCACAAGGCCCTGCAAGTAAATCCTGCCCCTAATCCCCCTCCGGAGAGGTGGAAAGAGCAGCGAGGGGGTGTCGATTGCAGGCGCTTAGTGGCATCGGTGCTGGGTCCGCAGCAGCCAGGCCTGGCCCACGGAGCTCCAGAAGGGCTAATAAATGTACAACATCTATTAGGGTAGATGTGTCTTAAGCATCTTCAGCCCCTTGTTGTTTAACTGTGCTGAAATCTGCAGCCAGATAGAAGGCTGTAGGTGCCGCAGATTTTGGCACTGGGGCAGAACTGCTGCTTCGAGGTGGCCAGCACAGTTTGCATGCAGAGATCTAGGACCACCAGCTGGTGCATTTCTTGCATTTTTATCCAGGGCAGTAACAGGTATGTCATTAGCAAAAGTAGTTAATTGGGTAAAGATCAGTGGTGCTTTGCACATATCATTTACCTTTATAACTGACTCACAGATGTGTCTGTTGGTTCCCTGCTTGGGAAGAGCCAGACACGACCTCTTGGCCATGTGCTGCACATGCAGAGCAAAACTAAGCCCTGTGTTTAAGCTCAACAATGTATGTTTAAAAGCACAAGCTAAGCTTGTACTAACTGCTGGTTGGGGGATTTTTTTTCCTAGCTTGAAGACTTGAACTTCCCAGAAATTAAACGTAAGAGGCACGACGAAAGGAAGGAGGAAGATAAGAAGGAATTCAAGGACCTCTTTGAGCTGGAGACTGACTCTGAAGAGGAAAGTGTTGGATTCCCTGTGAAAGGTATGGGGCTGGGCACACGTTCTCCTCGCTCAGGTTCCTTTATGGGAGATGTAGTCTGGCCATGTTTGGTTCAAAAGTTTTAGTGACTCAGAGGGAGAGCGCAGCAAGATGAAGCCTTGTAAAGGGGCAGACAAGCTGGGCCTCTTTCATCCTTCTCTTTCTCGCCCATTCTGTCCCTGCAGCTTGTTTTAAAGCCCACGCTGGGCTCTTCTCAAAGGTGTCAGCAAAGTAGCTGCAGTTCCTGCTGTAATTCTCCAATAAGCAAGTTCTCCTTGTGCTCTAACTGGGGCATTTTCTGGCCTGACCTTGGAGCACTTTCCTCTCCGTTTTTCCACTGAGTGGAGCTGAAGAAATGCAGGTTTTGTTACCCCCTGTAAGGTAGGAAGAGGAATGTGGTTCTACCCGGTATCACGCCAGGATCTTCACAAGTTATTGCAGACACTGGCTATCACTGGGGCTGACTACGAGAATCTTTGCTGGATAAAAAATGTTGTCCCCTCAGTGCACACAGTTCTGATTTATTTATTTTCTCATGCCTGGCATTGCAAGTGTTTTTGATGAGCCAAGAAAGTTATGGATCTGTGGAGAAGTGAGTGATATCACTCACTGGCTGTGACCACGAGGGGGCCACAGTAAATTGTGGAACCTGCCTAAAAAAGTTTGTGGTTTGGAGAAAAACTTAGATAGCCTCTCTGTAATTGAAGGTTCATGAGATATTACAGGTTTTCTAAATCCTGACAGGAAGACTTGTAGGAATGTTGGGTTTTCCTGTTTTTCGGGAGACTTGGTCTGCAGGTGAAGTCCTGGCCTGTCACACACATTGTGAGGTGTGAGGGTAAATCCTGGGAATTAGCCCAGAAACAGAGGAGCGTTGTCTCCTCGCGGAGCAGCAACGCTCGGCTGCCTCTGCACAACCCGTGTCCTTAGCAGGGTGTTTTCCAGAGGGAGGGGACGGGCCCTGAAGCCGCTGCCATCTCAAGGAGCATCTCGGCCCCAGCTCCATGCGGAGGCTCCGGGTGGAGGCTGTGGAGCAGGGAGGCCGGGAAGGCGCCTCGGGAGCCGCGTGCAGGGAGCTCTGTCCTTATCCCAAGGGGCTGCCAGGTGTTTCCAGCCAGGCAGGGCAGCCAGGGCTCCGCTTTGCTGCGGTTCCCCCTGCTCTTCTCCTGGGTGGCCGAGCGCGGGGCGCTTTGGGAGGCCCCGGGTGTTTATTTTCTTACCTGGGAGGTTTGAGGGCATAACCAGGCCGCTTGGATATGGCAAAAGGAGCGTTGGGGATGGTGGAAGGATGGGGGTTCTGGCTGTGGGACCGTCTCTCTCACCCAGGGGACTCCCTTCTCCCAAGACTCTCTCCCTTCTGGTCATTACATTTTGCAGGAGGCTGAGGATGGAAGGGTGATAACAGCCCATGGGCTCCCTGTGTCCAGGGAGTGGCTCCTGCAGGATCTAGCCAAGCTCCTCCATCTTTCCTTACCTTAACAGCAGGTCAGAGGTTCCCAGCAGCCAAAACCCTGATAAACCATTTTGCCTTCACCAGCAGCAGCCTCTTTCCTTGCAGTAGCCAGTAATAAAAAGCAAGGTCTGCAGTAACCTCCCTGGCAGGTCGTAACCCTGACATCAGCATTAGCAGTAGGACAGAGCCGTGGTGATAAAAAGCCTCCTGCCCAGGTGGATCCTCATTCTTGCTCCTCGGGCCTGGCGGGATCTATTAATGGATGAAGCTCTCCTGAATCCAGCTGTGATTCCAGCATGAGGCCAGCAGCAAGGAGCCTTTCTGTTGCCTGGTGTCGCACGTAGGGAGGTCTCGTTGTGTTTCTTCAGGGTTCAGGCTGTTGGCTGGGTCAATACCAGCACTTTGGGGTATTTTTAGGACTCCCCAGGAGAAGGGGGAGGATAATGCACAGTTCTGAGGCCTGAAGCCAGAACATCAGCACATTTCAGGACCGACCACGGGGGAAAAAGGCAGGGGAGAGTGTGTGGATTTGATCAATCGATCTGTGGTGGGGGGGGAGGCTCATGCATTCCCTCATTTACCAGCTGACAGCTCCTAGGGGAAGGAGCTCCTGGAATTTATTAATGGCTTGGGAAGAGGTGCTGGGGCTGCCTCGTGAGGAGGCAGGTAATGGGGAGCAGGGGGTGGCCGCAGCGCCTCGCTGGGCCGGGTGTAATGAGTGATCTGTCCCTATTAGGTGCCTCTAATGAACTTGAACAGCTTTCCTCACTTATCCCGTGTGTAATCGTGTTACATCCAGTTAATTCTGGGAAGGAGGGGGTTGGACATTGTCATTTGCTACCGGGATAACATGGACCAGTGTCCCGCTGCGGGCAGTGAGCTGGGATAGCGGGAGGAAAAGGAGGGAAGTGTGAGATACCTGGAACGTGCACAAACATCCTACATTGAGCAGGAGCTTCCAGCTCGGACCCCCTGCTCTGGGTCTGCAGCTGGGGAACCTGGCAGGGAAAAACTGCTGCATTTCCCCTCTGTGGTACTCTGCTCCGGAGCACGAGCGTAGGGATGGTGGCACTTGGCTCTTTGCTGCCTGCTGGGATGCTGCTCCTTGTGATGCCGTTTACTTAATAAAAACCAATTACAGGTAAAGCCAAGGCCAAGAAGGCAGCAGGAGCAAAGGTGAATCCAGCTGACAGCTCCGAGGCCAGCAGTGAGGAGGACTACGGCGAGGACGACGAGGAGGATGAAGAGGGAGAGTACGAAGTTGAGGAGGACGAGGAAGACCTGGAAGGCGACAGTGACTCAGCTGGTGAGTAGTGCCTGGTTCCAAGGCTGCTCTGCAGGCTGCCAGCTCCAGCAGTGTCCAGCAAGGACAGCAGCCACCAGGACCCTCCCCAGCTGCTGTCACAGGGCCCTGCTCGAAGTGCTGCTGCAGCTGGGGACGCCGTCCCCTTCTGTGGTCACACAGGGTGCCCAGCCACGTTCAGCTCCATCCTGCCACGTCCCTCGGCCGCCTGCAGCACAGAGGGAGGCCGGGCCGGCGAGAGCGTTGGCTCCTCTGCGCTTCTTTTGCCTCCTATTTTTATTTTGCCCCTTGCTTAGGCCTGTGCAGTAGAGGACGAAGCCTCCTGTCGCCTGGGGCAATGCGGGGGTGTCCCGCGAGGGCAGAGTGACAAGCTGAGGCTGCCACCACCCCCTGCAGCAGCCCCGGGGCCTCGTCCCTGCTCCCTCTCCCCTGCAGCCTTCCCTATCCCTCAGTTTTGCCTGGGGCACAACGGTTCCTTCCTTCGCTTCCTGCGCCGCGCGCTCCAGCGCCGCGCGCCCCGCAGCGCTCCCCAGGAGCGGCAGCGGCGCCGAGAAATTAATGAGTGTCTGGGATTAATTAGCACGGAGCTGCCTGCGCCTGCCTCGCTCTCGGGTTTACACCTCTGTCCCCACCCACAGAGGAGGAGGCCTCGCGGGGTCCCCGTGGGCCACAGAAGCCCAGGATGTCACGAGCCGACCTCGAGCAGCTGGCGCAAGGAGCCGAGGACACCGTGGAGGACTTGGCTTTCTCTGATGAAGACTGAGAGCCTTCGCAGCCACCCCGCTAAGCATCCTTTATGGAATGTCAGCCCTTGGGATTCCCTGGTTTTCTGTGCCAGGAGCTGGTTCTGGAGGTGGTGGTAAGAGCTGGGGACACCTGGGGCGGGGGGGACAGCAGCCCAAAGTGCCTCCAAGGACTTTCTCAGTGACACAGCCAAGAAGCTACTGGGACTTTCATGCTTTTTCCAACAGCTACGTTTTTGGTAACAGTTAAAAAAAAAATCCGTGGCCACATCAAGGCCAGTAAAACTGCTCCATGAGGGTAATAAAAAGTCCTCATTAAAATCCACTAGTTTAAGTAAAACAGGGTTCAGTTTCAGCTCCTGCGGGGTGCGTAGAGGAAGGTGACCAAGGGCCAGGACAGGGCAGAGACCTCTGGGGGCCTCCAGTGCACCCTGGACAGGGACAAAGTCCCCTCCGTGCACGGGGACGTCTCTACCACGGCCACCAGCAGCAGCTCAGTTTAATCGCCTGGGCCGAGGGTAAGTATGCTGGAAAAAGGGCATTTTTAAGTGTCCTAGGAGTGAAGCAGGGAATGCAGAGAGCAAGCAGGAGGGAGATGAGCCCCATCACGTTGGGGAGACCCTTCTGTTCCTGCCAGCTTCTGGGTTTGCCCGGGATTCCTGTGCTTGGCAAACCCTGGGCTGACCCTGCAGCTCCCTCCTGGCAGCAGGATTGGGAGGGATGTAGGAAAAGTGGTGTTTAGGGCCTATCCCACAGAACCACCCCTTGGAATTACCTGTGCAGGGCAAGGACATCACTCCTAATGCTGATTTTTCTGGAAAAGCAGATGGAGGGGCAGAATGGGACAGGATTTTTGTTCCGCTCTGTCACAGCTGGCGAGGCCACGAGTTGGATGTCAGTGCAGGGGTGGCCACGTTCCCTGCACAGCCGGGTCCAGCGCTGCCTTCTGCCTCTTTCCACACAGCCATTCTCACTCCTGCCCCTCCAGCAGTACCAGGTTCTTAATTTAAT